TTTTTTGTCACCTTGGAAGCATCGTAACCGTGCAAGATTCAGTCACAAAACTTTACAGATGTGTAGGTTAAATTACGATGAAAGTCGAGTTTACAGCCCTTGCCTGATTTGGCGTTGTTGGGAAAATACTGAATGTACTCTTCTAATATCAGAGTAGCACATGATAACAAAGGCCCTACATAGCTGTGTACGTAACAGGATGTATGATTACCTAGAAGAGCGTCAGAACACACTGTTTTAGGCATACGATAGCAATGTGACAACGATTAACATGATGATTCAGCCTCTATGGAGATAGACATATGACTGTCATGTTTACTGCTTATGCAGGCCTTAGCTAATCTGAACTAAACATTGAATACTGCTTTGAACCAGTATTCTGCATCTTGTGACTGTAACACTCTCTTATATATAAGCATGTCAAGGACACTATTCGGGGAACTATTTGGTCCCATGCAGCTCTGTATGTGATGACTACTTCCATTCTCGCAAGGATAATAAATACATGTATCCTGATATTGAAGATCAAGCCGGTGCCGAGCGATATTTTCCCAACAGGCGTCACTAAGTTTTACAGTTGTGTTGTTCAGATCTAAATGAAAGCTGAGTTTGAGATGATACCAGAAATAAAGGGTGCCACTGCTCACTGTATGTCCATTGCTCAATTTAGTGTAACATATGTGTTGATACCATTGCACGATGTATCTACTTTATAGTTTGGATAGGATTAGCTTTTTAGCATTGTTAGAGTATAGACAAATGAAGAACCATGTAAACATGTCACAGTAGAGGCAAAAAATACAAAAATTAAACCTGAAAATTAGCATAATAAGCCTAACCCTTGTGTTTCCAACAAACCTTATTTCAGTTGTCTAAACAAAACTACATTAAAAAAAACGCTAATTTCGAAACAAGGGAACCTTATGTTGTCAAATGCTTACTCAGTTCTGGGTTTTGGGACTGGTTCCTGCACCACTCTATAAAGCCTTCTTTTAAATAATATCAGATAACAATTTGGAACCCATACACACTATTTATATTCACACAAAACATCCTTGCATGCTTGAACTCCAGCTTTAAAAAGATTGAACCATGGACCATAGTTTCATCATATGTCATTCTAATCGGACTGCATGTAAATAATGAAAATGTGTCATTAAGTGCTGCTCTGTGCCTGGCTTCCTGGTCCATCATACCGAGGACAGGCTGCAGCTAGTAGAGCTGTTGTGTCTCATTTTAACCAGCACAGAGAGTCCTATAAATAATTCAGTGTAGGAGCAGTGTCTGAGTATCCACTGGGACTGACTTTTTGATATTATATTCGGTGTCAAAAGGCTAAGTCTGATTTTATACCGATATTCTCCTGTTAGTGAGTGGAATGATCAAGAGTGTTTCTGTGAGGCCAAGGTTCAGTACTTTGAAGGCAGTTAAGTCATATTAAGTGATGTCACTCTCTGATTTACAAATGATTTAATCACAAGCTCTGTTTAAAGGGCTTTTACCATACTATGGGCTTATTCCTAGAGGTAATACATCCTTTAGTTATACCCAACTTCCCATATTCACCCACCAAGGTAATGTGAGCATACACAGCTTTGGAAAACTATTATATAATCAACTGTCGGCATCTTAACAGTACAACATTACATTTGTTTCACCGGAGACCCTTCCGTCGGTACATTATTCATATCTGATTTAACTATCCATATTAGGCTCATACCTCAAACATTAGCTTTTCATCACAAGCCTTTCTCCATTTCTCCATTTGTTCATTTGACACCTTACACACTTCAACACAAAATATCCAAATGTCACTACTTTTGTTGTCATGGATCTAACATTATGACAAATATAAAGCAGAAAAGACACAGAGCAAGTAACGACCTGGAGCGATGAATTATGAATGACGAGGGGGATACATAATTTAGCTGGATTTTGTTGCATATTTTATGGTAATCATTTCCTTTCATTTGCGAATCACAATTGCCTTACTGCACGGCAGACATTAAACGGCACAAAAAATCCCAATGGCTAAGGGCAGCCGGATAAACTTTATAAATGCTTGATGATTTATGAAATTGTGTTATATGGCGGAGTGTTTTTAGAGCAAGTGCTTCTCTTGAAGGTCAGCAGCTTTAGTGCACAAAAGGGAAACTAGGCAACCGCTTATGAAACGAGGGGTTACGTATGGTAACCCTTGTTATATCTCTCACAGGCTCCGCCCTCTACTGGACTCTATGGGTACTACCCCTTGATCATATCATGCAAGCATTCATCCACTGAGACTTCTATAAACGTAGCCGGCCCCGGGGCGGGCCTACCTGAATGCGCGCGCATCTCATCGCATAAAAGGAGGCCTCGGCTCCTGACTGTCATCCTACACCTCTCTTCAGCGAGCGGCATAGGACCAACAGGGCCCCGAGTAGAGGGCTCCGCCTGTGCTTATATAACAAGGGTTACCATACGTAACCCCTCGTTATATCTCTAACAGGCTCCGCCCTCTACTGGAGCCCCGATGTATACACGCGCTGTCGTCCAACAACACCGTTCCACCCCACTGCCCTTGACCGGCTTTCTGGTTAGCAGCCGCTGCACCGCACCCTCCTTTACCTCGGTTGTGACTGTGGAGAAGTCTGGGCCGCGGCTGACAGAGCACACTCCAACGCGCTTACCTCGCGAAAAGTGTGCTCGGAAAACAGTGCTGAGGGCTCCCCCCCCCCCCACCCATAGGCAGACGGAGAGAGTCCCCAGCCCTGTATGGGCTCACTGTGCACCACCTCTCCCGAGTCCCTAAGGAGCACGGGGAGAGCGCAAGTGCCCCATGTCCCCCACACTCAGACACTGACCCCGTGCAGAGTGTGTATGGACTATAGTGTGGAGGGCTCTCCCCTCCTGCCCCTAGGCGTCCCAGGTGGAGAGATTCTCTCCCTAACCACACGTGACGCGACGCCACTGTGGCCAAGGACATCACCCGCCCCGCTGCGGCGGCCACCCCATGGATCAGATTGTTCATCTGACCAATGCAGCGGTCCGGATAATCGCTCCCGTCCTGAGGCGCTCCGCTCCCAGGGTCATCACCACCGGGAAGTCCAGACGTGCAGACCTGTGTGCTGGACCCTTCTGGCCGCCGCACCCGGAAGTACCAGACAACGAGGCGTCCTCGTCGTCTTCCTCCTCCGTGAACGTGGCCACCCAGCCCCTCGGGATGGCGAACACGAATGGCACCTTGTCATCCTGTTCACCCATCTCCACCACCTTGAGGTCCTGATCCTCCGCCTCCTCCGGCGGGCCAAACTTCACCCGGAAATGATCCCCACGATGTCGGCGGCTTAGCCGAGGGATCATCCGGCAGGCGTTGCAGGCCGGCGACTGGCTTAGGCCGTCCTCGGCGGGGTCCGGCCCCAGGCATTGGAAGCACAGGCGGTGCGGATCAGCCCCCGCGATTAGGCCAGGGCATGTCGGACAGGCCCGGTGTTCGAGGAGTGGTGAATCCATGCTTTCTTCTTTTCCTTTCTCGTTTACTGCTCAGGTTGTTTAATCCTGCTCGCTGAAGAGAAAAGGATGATAGTCAGGAGGCGAGGCCTCCTTTTATGCGGTGAGATGCGCGCGCATTCAGTTAGGCCCGCCCCGGAGCCGGCTACGTTTATAGAAGTCTCAGTGGATGAATGCTTGCATGATATGATCAAGGGGTAGTACCCATAGAGTCCAGTAGAGGGCGGAGCCTGTGAGAGATATAACACATATCTTTCATATTTGCTTTGTCTTTTAGAGATTTTACTTTATAATCGTTTATCTCATGTTGGTTTTTGAAATACCAGTGTGTATTTTGAATATGTCATAGTTACATTATTGCTTAAATAAGGTCCAGTAGGCAGCTCATGATCGATTCCGACCAGAGGGCAATGTCATCCTCCCTATCTCCCCCTTTCAAATCTGTCTCTAGAATAAAGTGGCCCAACACGGGAAAAATTCAGGCAATGTCATCCCCTCTATCTCCCCCTTTTTTAAAACTGTATTTTTAATAAAGGCACTCTCTTGCCAAAAATATATATATAAAAAGAAAAAAAAGCAACACAAAGTACATCAATACAATTATTTTAACAGGATCTCCCATCCTTGAGAATCATGTGGTCTTTTGGAGGCATGGCTTAGGGGGATTATTGCGTTGATCTACCAATCAGGGGGTCATTGGTTTGATCCCCAGCAAGTTTAAGTGTCCCCGGGAAATATATCTCACCCTAAATTGCTCTAGAAGGCACATCTATGGCAGTGAAGTATCTGTAAGTTGCTTCGGATAAAAGTAGCTAAATTCAATGTAATGTAATATCAAATGTAATGTACATTATTATTTAAATAGTATGTATCTATTTACCTACATATCCTATTTCAATAACTTGCATATAGACTCTTATTGCACTATTTCACTATTTCACTTTTTTAAAACTATTTTTATTTTTATTTTTTACTATTTACTATTTACTTGCACTATATTTTTTCTGTTTATCTGTGTTTTGTGTTGCTCTGTTGGAGAAGCCTGTGACACAAGATTGTCATCGGCATAACTACACTGTAGCTATGTTCCTATGACTAAATAAAGAACCTTGAACAACCTGCAACTTCCCCATAGCTGCAGAATCTGACAAGTGCCTGTAGTTGTCATGCATTGATGTCATTTTTGTAACCATATCTGACCCTGCTGATACAATGCTGTACGTACAAGGGACTTCCCTTCCTTACTGGTTCAGTTTAAAAATGACAGAGGTTTCATTAGAAAACAAAGTGATGGATAGCTGATGGAGCGGCCCTTAGTGAGGTGCTGCCATCTCCTGCCGGCTCTGAGGTGATGCATGACTATAATTGTGCCTTCACACAAGCTCAAATGCATGTGAGGATGACAAGTTTGTATCGTCACCCTGCCTGTAAGAAATCACAGCAAGTTCTCACATTTTCTCCCAATTTGCCACCATGTGTTTACATTGATTTCTGCCATGCTTCCACAGAGCCTGTCTGACAGTGACATGAACAAGTTTAGTCTTGTCTACCAACCGTAAGTAACACATTGATGTCATCGCCGTCATCACACACTTCAATCACACCTTCTTCTATTCTCACCTATCCCCCCCCCCTCCTCCTGTTCATAGCTTGTATTATGTGCCTGATAAAATACAAAACTTGAAAATTAGAGGATATCTCAGAGGTAAAATGACAATGTTTCTGTGTTCATGTGTGTGTGTGTGTGTGTGTGTGTGTGTGTGTGTGTGTGTGTGTGTGTGTGTGTGTGTGTGTGTGTGTGTGTGTGTGTGTGTGTGTGTGTGTGTGTGTGTGTGTGTGTGTGTGTGTGTGTGTGTGTGTGTGTGTGTGTGTGTGTGTGTGTGTGTGTGTGTTGGGTGTGCATGCATACAGTTTGTCTGGACTTGTGTACACACAGCTGGATGTGTGTGTTGTCTGCCTGGCTGCACCTGCACATTTGTCAGTATGTTGTTCCTCTTTATGTATCCCTGTGTGTCTTTGCGTGTCTGTTAATATTAGTGATTAACTGAAATAGGTCAGTAAAACTAAAACTAAAACTTAATATATGTTTTACCAACTTATATCTACTTTTTTAATTTAATATTTAGAATTCTAGAACACATTTATAAAACTATTTAAAAAATGAAATAACTATTTTCTATTTACACTTTGAATGTTAACTTATTCTTGATTTAGCATAGACTTACCAATTAAAAATGAAGATATGTAAGTGAAGTCCATTTCATTATCTTTTTCATTTTATGTGAATTATGTTATTTGGGACACATACATGTATATATTTTTATTTTTTAGCGATAAATAAATACGTTTAATTAATTAACTTTTAGGCCTAACATGGAACAAGCAGGGGAAATGTAATATGATTTATACACTGCACAGGTACGACACATTTTCACTGAATAATGTTTGTCCTAATTTCTCTGTTTCCCTTGTTGAACCAGGAAATAACCAACCAACATGTTAGAGCTAATAAAATACTGAGTTTTCTCTGGTCCTCCCACACAATGTAGAAACATTTATTTTTAATTTGTGAGTCATTGCTTCATATATCAGAGCCTCATAACTTACTCTTAATATTCATCACATACATAGAGTTACTATAACACAACTTTTTTTAATATCTCACAGAGCCAGTAATAAACCAAACTGTTTCCACTTTGTCTTTGACGTAACAAGAATATACAGAGCAGATCTATTTTATGAATAAATAGGAAAACACTTTAGGAATTGAAATGTTTCATAATCATGTGAGTGTCATGGTTTCACATTAATTTCCGGGCCAAATGGTGACTAAAGGCTGTCTAAAGATTATTCTTATGAATCATGAACAGCCGTTTCCTTAATAATCCAAAACTGTAATTCTGTATGCACATTTTTGACCACAAATAGCCTGTGTTTTGTCCTCCTGTGCTGTAGTTGACTGTAATCACAGGAAGAACAGACATGTATTTAGCAAAAACAGCTCCATGGTGACCACCATAGACTGTATGATATGCTGACCACACACACTGTAGTGGAACATTGTGCCAGTCTAACAGGAAAGCCATATACTCATTTTTGCTAAATTGAACTTTCAATGACACCATACTTGAACTTACACTTCACCCCCAACGTGTGTAGCTTAAAATACGGTATGTGTGACAAAGCTGTCAAACAATTTCCTCAGTAATGACTTGTCAGTAGACTTTCAAAACTTGTGAACTGTTCCTTGTAGATGATGAAATGATAGTAAATTAAAACACAGTGAAAAGCTAACGTAATGCTATAAAAAAACTACATCATTGTCATGTCTCAATTAGCCACTTGTTAGCAACTGCCTTTATTAGGAAACAGAAAGCTTAAGAAAATTCACCAGTGGGGTGTGTATTGAAGTATTGTTTAATAAAAAACAATACATGAACATCTCGTAAGCTTGAGTTAACCAGAGACCTGTGGAATCGAACCAAAAACTCTGTCAAATGTAGCTAATTATCAGTGCTCATCTGTGTCTTGAGACTGATGCACAAGTCTCTATAAGAAGCTCACAGCAACAAATGTAACCAAAGAGGAAGTGTTTGCATTGGTATAAACCCAAATGTTATTTTTTACTGAAGACATTATGTCACTGTTTCCTATGACATTACGTCGGTAGCTTAAGTAACATATTTATTTTAAACCATACCATGCTGTTTTCTCTAACCCTAATGAATAAATGTAATCTAACTGGGCAGTTTGGTCAAGTATACCTAACCACGACTGTTTCAAAAAGTTAAGCACGTGTTACAATGACACGTTCCTCTGTTGAGATACTGCAAATACTAGAGCAGCCAAATATGATGAGTAGAGATGAGATCAGGTTGCTCACAGAGACATCCAGGAAGAGACTCAATATGGCCCCCATAAAAACACTAAAAAGGGATGCAAAACTGCTGCAAAGAGAAACATAGAGACTCACAACCACTATTAACAGGAGTAAAGGAACCAGAAAGAGACACCAAGAAACTACAAAGAGGAACAGTGAACTACAAAGAGACACCTAACACCTACAGAGAGACAAAACAATCCAGAACTAAAGAGTTCTGATGAACTAAGTACGATTTCACATAAAAGGGCCAAACAATCACAAACAAAGAAATACTTCAAAAATACTTTTCAAAGAGACACAAAATTAATATAAAGACACAAAAACAGAGAGATACGTAACGACCAGAGTTGGGTGTAACGCGTTAGTAATAATATTACTTTTGTCGGTAACGGAGTAGTGTAACGCGTTACTTTTATAATTTAGTAATCACACTACAGTTACTAACATTGCCCGACACGCGTTACTTCGTAAACTGGAACGCCTTATCCAAGTATAGTAGTTTCATTCGGGTAATGTTTAGATAGTTATAAGCAGCAGGGGAAATGTCAATGTCTATTTTCAGGTGGAATTAAAGAGAGTCTGGGGAGATGTGAAGCAACAAGTGTGTTCAGTGTGTGTGTGTGTGCGTGTGTGTGTGTGTGTGTGTGGGGGGGGGGGGGGGAAAGAGAAGTGATTTTTCCTGCAGAGGCTGTAGAGAGTAACACCCTCCCCTCTATGACAAAGACGTGACTTGTAGCCAACTACTGAGTTCATTTACATTTCTGCGGACAGTCTTGCAGCACACAATGTTTGAGAAGTAGAGGGCCGAAAATGTTAAACATGAATATGGATACGTTAGGTAAACTCGCTGCTCCGGCTACAGCAAAGATTCGGTAAGAGGTTTTATATTATGTTATATGTTGAAGTGGTTGATGACACAAAATCACGTTTTGCTGCTGCTTTATTCTATTGAACTGTGTATATATTTTTGCACTATTGACAAAAAATGTAAAATACTTTTTTGTATGTGTTTGCAGTTTAGTGCCAGAAAAAAAAATATTGTGACATTTGCTAACTTTTTACTGAAAGTAACAAAAACAAACAATCTCAATGTTCAAAGTACTCTTTTTGAATTAAAAAAGGATGCTTTTACCATTACATAAATCCTAAATTATGTATGAAAAGAGATAAAGAGGAGAATTCAAAAGAATTAAAGAAAGAATGATGTGTGACTAATTGACGTGAATACTGCAATCTTCTTCTTAAATACCCTTTAAAGTTGAAAAAATCATTAACAATTCATGTCTATCACTTGTTCGGCTCACAATAACGCAAAACTCATTTCATAAAGATGTGTTTCTGAATAATAAAGCCAAATTATGTATTTTTCCAGGCAGCTTCAGAAGATTGTTCAAGACATCAAGAAAAATGACGGCAGCTTACTGAACAAACTAAGAAGGTGAGTCTCTAAAATCTCTTTTCTTCTTTATTAGTACTGCACATTTCTATAACACTTGGAAAAAACAATCCAAATATATCAGTTTCACTTTACATGAGTCTGGCTGTTGATCTAAAATGTCCCTGTGGTGAATACATGCATTATTAGAGAATGTCAATTCCCCTTTCACAAGCATTGGCATAAGAGAAAAACTAAAAATAACTACAGCAGATGGCTGTTTCAATTTCCTTTCCTGAAATGAGGGACTTTAAGGCACATCAGGAAATAGACATGCATTACAGAAGCCATTCATCCTTATCTTGTCTGGTAAATAACTGTTTTTATGTAAATATAGACATTTCACAGTTTTACAGCACAGGTGGTGAGTGGTATGTATGCAAATGGTATGTCCCATAAAGCAAGATAAAGTATCATTACGCCAACCATTCCACTCTACTCATTTAAATCACAATTCATATTGTGTCAAATCCCTTTTATTTAGCCATTCATTGCCTCAACATCTCTTTGTGTGGCAGATTGAAAAGTAAACCGGTTCCAAAAGTACCTGCGAGGGATTACAGAGGTAAGAACTGAGCCATTCACTTCACATCACTGATGCAACTGGAATATTGAAACATGAGATGGAAAAAACTGTTATTTAAAACTCTTATGACACTAAAAAAGAAACCTTCGTTGGTTCAATATATATACATTTTTACTTAGGGGCCCTACTATCCTCATTTTCAGGTTCATATCAGTATTTAGTGTCTCTCCTGTGACATGTCTCCATGCTTTAATGTTCAAAAAGCTCTTTATTCTTCTCATACTGCCTGTGCTGCAGCACCTCTTTTCACCCTCTGTCTGAAACCAGAGCCCAGTCTGCTCTGATTGGTTAGCTGGCCGACTCTGCTGTGATTGGTCAACCGCTTAGAATTGTCCCACCCCTTAGCCCCATAGTGATGTCACTATGTTAGGGAAGAAAACAAAGCAGTCCAATTGAGGTGTTTCAGGCGGGGGGAGTGTGTGGGAGAGAAACTCCCTCTAGAGTGAACACAGGGATTGGTGCTCGAGTTGACTGCCTGAACTAGCTCACAGGCTTCGCACCATTATTGACTTGATGACAAATTGGTAACTCGTGGTAATTCATCAAGATTGCCAGCTTAGTTCAGCATACCGTCATTTGCTAATTAGCAATTAATGTATATGGTATGTAACATTTCAGCAATAACATTTCTGACAACAACTACACCTTTGTTGAGTTGTGTTATACAATTTTTGTTTTCAACTATATATAAACATTTCAAGTCATTTGGGATTTTAGCCTTTGCAAACCATTTACTTGCACAAAAACCTAAAGAACACACTACAGGAAAGGGAAACCCCCAAAAGCATTATAAGGCCTCTGCAAGTCTTTATGTTGAATAACAATGGTCAAACGCCCGACCGTACACTGAAAGAATCAGACAGAGTAACAGTCTGAAGTACTTTGTGTTAATGTACCACCATTAAAGTTTAGCAAGGACACATTGCAGGAAACGGGAAGAGAACATTCTGTGCCAAAAGGAGTTTAGCTTTGGAAGGCCATTTACCTGCCTTCAGCTGATCCTGGAATTCATTTTAGCATAAAGTGTGGAGTGTTAATTTGGTCTCCTATCTCTCACATTGCAACGGTGTTATTGTAGGGATTATTACAACAATGATCATGTGAGTAGTTTAGAACTTCATAAACCATTCTTTTTTATTATTGCAAATCAGCAATACTAACTACATGTATTAGAGAAGTGTAATAGTTCATTGTAACTAACACCTACAAGATCCGCTTCATCCCACTATTTACCACAAAGATTCAAAGGTTTTATCGTCATGTGCACAATAGATACAGAGTAGTTGTAGTGGAGAGTTACGGTTAAACTCAGTGTTGGCACTAGTTTCGTGTTTATTACTAGGTTCACCCCGGTGTGTCGGCCAGAACACTGGTGGCCAAAGATCCAGAATAGAAGAAATTAGGAGCTGAGATGAGGCTTGACTTCCTTTACTGACTTAGGCAGACATACAGGTTGTGCTGAACGTGTTGGGGGGCATGTCTCTTCTGCCTGGGGCCCCCAGAGTGTCTTGCAGCGCTACTGTGCATACATAAACAAAATATATAATGTCACTAAACCCTATAGAGATAATAATCTAGACACATATAACATGTCTCCCTTCCCCTATAATAGTAAACACATTAACACATAATGTCAAACACTCAGTACAATGGACACACAGAGATCCGAAGTTAAGCTACCGCTAATGCTAACGTTCCACTTCCTGTCCGTGGGTAAAGCGGCAGCCGATGCTCTTATTGTGAAACGCAACATACATGCTACTTCCGGTAGTCAGGTTAGCGGAGCCATAATTGAACAGTAAACACTAAACCAGTGGCGGCTGGTGCATTTTTCTCCAGGGGGGGCTCTACCAAAATGTAAGCAAACTTATACACAAACCCAAAAAATATGTCATATTACAATGCAGGGCTAGCTCAAAGGCAACATCCTTATTATGCTTACAGATCCCTATCCTGTAGCCCTCATTGGACAGCAGTGTTTACTTTCCTAAACACGGCGCATAGCATCATCCATGTGGTCTCTAGTTTGTTCATGCTTTTTCGTTTTTTCTGATATGTGCTTTAAGTCTCTCACATCTGTCTGGATCCATGCTGGGTCTGGTCCAAAGACTGGTCTGATCCTGACGTTTGAAAAGGGAGGCAGGGGAAGCTAAATATAGCACTGGTGTTGGTAGTTAGCCAAGCCTTCTTGCTAAACCAGCTCCTTGAAAAAGAGCACGTATACTGCCTTCCTTTGTCCTTAACTCCTGCCTATGTCAGTCTGATCAGGTCCGAGCTCTTTTACTCTCAGCTTTCCCTTCAGTGTCCTCCTCTAGAAGGGTGTCTCTTTAAGTGATTAAACATCATTTTCCTTCTCCATATTCGCTATCTAGTTTTGTTTACACTCCGTCTCCGTCTAACTCTCTCTCATTCAAACGTCAATCACTCACTCTGGCGCTCCTGCTGCCCCCTAGTGCTGCCCCCTAGTTGTTGGCGGTGTCAACAGCTGCTTTGGGCGCAGTTTGATGGGAATTCCGTCTCTTTTTAGTGAGCCGGATCATTTGACTCGGCTCACCGCTCTTCATTTGACCACTTATACCTTTTGTTTTCATTGCATTTACAGACCCTTGTATCTCTCTGATACCACCCAATGAACAATGTCATCTGTGGAAGCCGTAGTACTGTAAAAAGCACGACCAATCATTTTAGCCGGCCTGGCTAAAATAACTGGATGGCCTACCTGCCTGTCAGCCTTCCATCTCGTGCACACAACCTATATCGTGCCCTCATTGGTCATGTGCGCGTTTGTGTGTGTTGGAGGAGGGGCTCTGTAAGGAAGTGGCAGATTTTTTCCGGTTGTGTATTTTCAAATTCTAACGCACTCGAGCTGGTTTCTCCAAAATTACCTACCCCACCTTTAAGTTGGCGTGACGTTGAAGTCGTGCGACCCTGCTGTACTCGGCTGTAGTTCGTTTATAGCATAACATTAGCATTTTGCTTCTGGCGATTAGATTTATGATTCGAAAATTATAAAAGTAGGGTAGACATGTGGAGATTATCCGGCTGAACAAAACGTGCATTTATCAAACAGGTTCGTTTTCCACAGACCTTATTTCGAGCTATTTTCCAAAATCCTATGGAGAAATCCCATTGCTTTTTTGTCGAGGGAACCCAGGCGCAGCTTACTTACGTCATCCCTGCACCACTCTATGGGCAAAGATTTATGGCCCCAAGCAGAAAACACGTGACTTATCAGTAACTTTAGACATCGTAAAACAATTGTTATCAATATTTTATCATAGATTATACATTTAACTGACACCAACTATATAATATGTACCTTGTTCATTAAAAAAAAAGTTTTAATGACAATCTAGAATGTGGGAAGAGGTGGGGCGGTGCCCCTAGCGCCCCTATGGGCCGGCCGCCACTGTAACATCTCACATTTAACGCCACATAAACGTTTATCCACATAAACTACATCTTAAAACATTAATAATACAGACTGTGCCACTCAACATGGTGTATATAATCCTAAACTTTGAGACGGAGTGCCGACTCACTTAACGAGTGACTTAATGAGCCGCTATAACAAACATGCACGCAGCATGCACAGATCACATGAGCACGGAGACTCTGCATTAAGCCACATCGGCACAGAAGTTATCATAATAATAATAAAGTGACAACAGGCAGTACTGTGGACAAAAACTCACCTTCATTTACGCAGACAATACTGTAGAAACACTTAGGATGACACTGCACAACTGTACAACTTTCCTGCAACTTTACTTCTGACGCACATTACCCTCTGATGTATGACGTCCCCCAAAACACGTGGGTTAGCCCCTCCCCACTATGAAGACATAACTAAACAGGTATCAACTCTATATGATAACTGAATATATATAACAATAACTTATAACTTTGGGGCCTTTTCTATTGTAGTTGTTGGCAATGAAAATCTTAAGTCCCTGGCTACTCCAACAGTGTATCATACATAAAAATAAAAATGCATAAAATATAGTAAAAGTAAAATGCAGGAATATCTCCAGCCTCCAAGCTCTTAAAATGTCAAAATGTACAAAAACATTGCAACTGTGCTTCAGGAGAAAGCACACATGACTGCACCCATTTCCATTTGCCGTTTTGAGAAGCATGCTGTGATCAATTATGTGATGCTTCTGATAAAAATGCATTGTAAAAACAGCAATGAAGTCATTGTGGAGAGATTATACAACTCTAAGTGAGAGGTAAGGAGACAAGCTCCACTGGTTCCTCAACCAAGAGGCCGACTTTCAGAGTATGCTTTCGTTCTAAAATTAGAAAAGGTTCTCTGACACCTGCTCGCATGACTTTATTACTGGAATTTAATATTTTTAGTTGCCTGGGTTTCTTAAAGATTCACAATTAGAATAGTTTCTACAAGCTCATTTCTCCCTCTGTGGTGGGTTGTGACACTTACTAAGATTCTGTACTTTGCAGAGTGTTTCCATAATAGTACTTTATACCTCTACTCCACTGCCTTTAATAGAGAAAAACTTTATTTGATATCTCTAAAGAATAAACAACAGTTTGAGGTGCAAAAGTAAACTATAATATATCAAAAAGTAAGAACAACTCCCTATGGAGGGAACACTGGGATTTTAGCCTTTGCAGACCATTTACATGCACAAAAACCTATAACACACTACAGGTAAGGGGGAAACCCCAAAAAGGAGAATAGGGCTTCGATAAGTGAGTTCTTGAACAATCCTTACTTGTAATGAAGTATTTTGACATTCATGTAGTACTCTTACTGAAGTGAAGAATCACATTACTTATTTGACCACTCGCGCTTTGTAATAAAATCATTTCACATACCTGTGTTTACAGATTTCAGGGAAGATGAAGAACGGTCGGACTCTGATTATGTAAGTTGGGACATACAGTATGTGAGTTATAAATCATTTAAAGCAGGGGTGTCAAACTCAAGGCCCGACGGCCAAATCCGGCCCGCAACCTCATTTTCTGTGGCATGCAAAGAATATAATATACAATACAATTAGTGTAATTTATTCATATTTGCTTTCAATTATTTGCCCTAGACTTCTGCTTTCAGATGTAGTTATTTATAAAGTTATTAACAGAACTGATAATAATCCAATGCAGAGCCAATAATGTAATATAATACATTATTTAATATATATTATATATTTATATATGTATATTTATATAGTCTTAAAGTTACAACCGGCCCTTTGAGTGCAACCATAATGCTGATGTGGCCCACAATGAATTTGAGTTTGACAACCCTGATTTAAAGTGTAATATTTCTATGGAACATAACAAGCAAGTTGTTCACAGGACAATGACATGTATGAGGATCCACATGAGGAGCAGGACGACAACTACGAGCCCCCCCCCAGCCACAAAGCCTTCACCCCTACGCCCTCTGCTTCCTTCCCGAGGGGGGAGTACCTCGGTCAGTCATCTGACAACTCCTTATGTCTGCATTTGTTTCACCCAAAAAAAGATTTTTGTACAAACATCATCAGTTCTCCCAGATTCATTTTCACACGCAGTTTCTATTTCTTCAATATTTTCTCCTTAACAGTGATCACTCTCTTCCTGATAAATTTGCATTAGTCCATTCAGCCCTATCTCACCATTGAGACAAAGCCACAATTCTCACAGGGCTTCACAACGGTGATTCATGCAAATGCTGACGTCCTGTTTCTACTTCTCCTTTCCAGACAACTGCCGGAGCAGACCCGGCCGGCCGCCCAGGAAGCCCCTCCGCCCGGGCAAAGGCTCCAGACAGCTGCCCCCAGAACCCCCCCTTCAAGGGAGCGATGAAGTAACGCAACTTTTTCCACCTAAACATTTATTTAATACTGTACTGCAGGCCTGTCTCGTCCTGGATACTTCAGCATTACTGTGTCATGGAGTATTTCGCCATATCCTGTGTATTGGCAAATGATGAGTGTGGACAGCTGACCCCATTTTCACAATTTGTTGTTCTGCAGGAAGACTACATCAATCCAGACTGCAGTAATGATGATGACAACTACATTGAACCTGCTGAGAATCCCCCTTCCAGTAAGATACAGATCAGAAAGAGAGGAGGCACACTGATTTGAAATCTTTGAAAACTAAAATGTTTTTATGCTTCTGTCTACCAATCAAGTTGGAGTTTTCAACCAGTTCTGTACGACATTTGTAGAATATTGTTATAATTAACGTAGGAATTGTTATATTATAGACAAACATGTGTTTGGTGAGTTCACAGAAACGTTGACCTTTGTCTAATAATTAATCAAATTTCAGAACGTGCATCTCAAATTTTGAAAAATATCTCTCCAAGAGTTTCTAAGATATAGCGTTCATGAGATTGGGATGGACAGATGAACGGACTACAACGCAAAAACAACATGCGTCCGGCCACTACTATAGAATAGTCCTAAAACCCGGGAAAGAACAAGCTTGTTACCACATCCGGTTCCCTCGTCCACATTTCTTTTAACATGTTTGTGGTTCGAAATAAGGTCTGTGGTTAACACAAGCTTACAACAGTAAATACTCCACTTGTCAAATGTTTGCAACTTTGATGTGCCATAAAAATGGTGGTTGCTAACAATCGACTAAATAAAATATTAAACGTCATCACGCTGACACTAGTCTGCCTTTAGCTAAGCAGTGGTGATAAGCAGGCAATCGTGATCTGAGTTAGCTTTGTATTCCTGCCAATCGCATTTACGCTTCAAAAATCAAAAAGTGGTGTCAATATGTGGAGATTATCAGGTTGAACAAAACGTTTAAGTATCATAAACATGTGATTTGCCACAAAGCTTAATTTCAGCTAAATACCAAAATCCAATTGGGAAATCCTATTGCTTTTTGTTCAGGGACTCGTGCGATTTTAACTTCCGGGTTGGCCTACAAAAATAAGTCATCACTGCAACATTCTATTGGCGGTGGAGGCACATAATTACTGTAGCTATATGGAAGATACTGCTGCAAGACTGTCACTATGAAGATGTAATAATGATCTCTCTGCTTCTTCTCAGATCCTATGATGCATTGTGGGAGCAAAGCAGGAAGGGACCGTCCCATGAGGCCTACACCTTTAACAGAGCGCTCACCCAGTCCTGGTAGGTACATCAATAACCATGCTGCTGTACCCCAACGCTAATTCACGAGGGGCTATCAAAATTACAGATTACTGGTCTTTATAACCTGTACTCATAACAACTCGTTATTGTTATTTCTATGGCCTTGGAAAGTTCAATAGATGACCTACTATCTCTCAACGGTTAAATATTTGACTTCAAACAACACATTCCAACCTCATGGTCCTAGAGGAAAAGTCACTGATGCATTGTAGAGGAAGAGTGAATGGAGATCTAGAGGTCTAGATCTAGAGATTTTTCACCGGATTAGTGAACATTTTTTGGACTCATCCTCAGTCTAGGGACTATGAATGACTGTACAAAAAGTACTGGCCATCTGATAATAAGACATTTCAAACCTAAAAAAGCCATGTTGCTATTGCTCTTTGGAAGAAAAAAAGGCCTATGTTATGTCTACAATGTTGAATAAACAGATAATAGGCCTACATGATTGAATAGTCTTTGTAAACACGCAGCAATCAGAGACAGGCAAGAGCAGTCAGTCCAAACACACAAAAAACACCCAAGGGCGAATATGTTGCAATGCAATCCTCCTACTAAACAAGTGGTTTGGTTCTACACTGTGTCTAATTTCGGCTCTGGTTGTTTTTCAGACTTTTATGAAGTTCCTGACAAAGAGGTAAGCTTTTATGTAAGAGCATTTCCAAGTATTCTTTAAAGGACATTTACATGTGGAATTCATTGTGGTTCCATTTTATGGTGTCTTCACAGGGGAACTCATTATCTCTTCCAGCAAACAGGTCAGTGGGAGACTTTCTTCATGGAGGCTCATTCATGTAATTGTACAGACATGCAAAACACAATGATAGTATTTAGACTGCAGTCTCTAAGACTCTGAGACTATAATCTTTTTAATTTTTCAGACTTTGTCCAATCCCCGCCACACAGTCTCCTTCTACACCACCCAAGCCCAGCCCCAGCCCCAGGTAGGATTACTCAGGGAAAATGCACTATGTACACCAAAAGGGCTTTTGCCACTGACAAGCCCAGATTGTTATATAAATGTCTGACAAAACTATGGATAGGACCCTGTGGATATATAAAACTTTGTTCCACTTTCCGCTGTTTGATCTGATGAGTCTCTGAGATTTCGTTCTGAAATCTCATGTCCCGTCCATATTGTCGTAATCGGCTACCATATTCAGTCATTACCTTGGAAACTATTTAGATTACATTAGGATACACTTTCTCTACTCCAACATAACAAACACTGGCACTACTCTCACCCACGATTAGACTGTTTTCTTTGGGTAAGAGGTCACATGACACAAAAGTAACAGTCCGTGAAAGGATGATAAACATTTAAATGTACTCTTTAGGGTCCATTCTGTAAAGTTCCACAACACTGAGCTGGTCAGAAGCCAAAACCAGACGGTAACAGTGCAGAATTACATTGCAGCATGTTTAGCCGCTGCTCAATACTGGGCCGATATCTGACTGTCGTCCCCTTTAGTCTCTTAGACGTAATAACTTGGGATGCATAGGGTCCTGGTTGAAGAATAGTGGAGTTACCCTTTAAGTGCAACTCTTTCTCTGTCTGTGATGAAGTTAGCACATTTCTTTCCTAATACTCCAATAATGAGTTGTGTTTTTTTCAGAGCGAACCCGAGGAGATCTCCTACTCCTGTGAGTGATGACAAATGATCATGTGAAAGTGGTTTTCCAGAGATTTACGGAATGTTCCACAGTTAATAATATTGGGATTTTCCAGGTCCAGAAGTCCTCAGGCGACGATGAATATGAAGTTTGTGATCCAGAAGATAGTAAGTATTAATCCAATATAGGTGAACTATTGCCCTCTTCATTCTTTTTAAAGACAGACTGCTGTCATGTTGTGACATCTAGAGGATGACCAGTGGAAGAGAAACATTTATTTCCTTACGTGTATAATGTAAGACAACAGAACAATGTGACCTTAGTAAAGAAGAAACCAAGATATTAAGGATAAAAAATGATTTAATTGATAGTAAAAGCTGCCTTTCATGAAGCATATTCAGGCAGTAGTCTATAAACACTGAAACACATGAGCACATACTACAGTTTAAAAAAACAGAAATTAAATCTGAGCTGAGAGAAAATGCTCCGTTTTAGTTTGATATACACAGTTAAGCTCACACACACTATGTTATGAACATTTAGGATCACCTGCTGAATTAAAAACAGAACAAATGAAGCAAAGAAAGTGAAAACCATAAAGCAGATTCAGGCAGTAGGCGTATAGAATCACTCTTAAAGGATTATCCAGAACAGTACAGATCTGATCCTTTAAATTTAAAACAAACAAGTTATCTTTTTAGGTTTTTAGTAACGTTGAAATCCTGCTAGTAATCCGAACAGAAACGAACAGTAATCTGATTCCGTTTATTTTTTATGTAACTTTTTTTTGTATCCTGATTATGTAATCCCCTTACCCCCCAAGCCTGAAAGTAGTTACTTGATGGTAGATCTCTTGTCATTGCATTGTCTGCTCTTTCAGGTTCCACTAATAAACGTGCCGAGGGTCCTCCTCGACCCCGACCAAAACCTTTGCCAAGAGAGTAAGCATGACTTACGATTCCATATCATGTTTAAGCTTAAAAAGGGAATTACTAGTTGTCTGAAATCATTGTCTCTCTTTCTCTCTCAGGAGGTCCCCAATACCACCTGGCAAGCCGGTAGGAATATCAGACAAGTTCTACTACGATTTGTATCATATATACATAGATATATGGCTACAATTTATGAGTATCATAATAATCAATTAATCTGCAGATTGTTTATAGATTCATCGATTTTGGTCTACAAAATGTCAGTCAATAGTTTATCCCAGTTTCACAAAGTAAAGGTTAATGTCTTTGAATTTTAAATTGTGTTGTCAGTCCAAAATCCAAATATATCCACTATGAGACATATACATATAGTACAGAAAAAAAGCAGGAAATCTCCAATAAACCTGTTTCTGATTCTGATATTTGAGCGGTTGAAAACAGCATTTTCTGTGTGAAGAAATACTTTAGCGTTTAATCGGATAGTGAAATAGTTAGCAATTAATTTTCTATTTAGTTGACTAATCAATTATGCGATTCATCGTTGATGTTGGAATCAGATATCATCAATATTGTCATGGCTTTAATGTGGGACACTGTTTTATTTTTACAGAAGCCAAAATTCAAACCTAGGGAATTTGAAAGTAAGTGTTTAAGGAAATACAGTATTCCTCGAAACCTATGTACATATTTTATTTGTGGAACGTATCTTTCACTTTCCACTCATTACTAAACAGCCAACCTAATTACCATACGTCTGGTTTCCTACAGGCCGAACGCTGCCTGTGATGCAGAAGGATCTGAAGCCTCAGAGAACAGCTTTCACACTGGACCCACAACGACCAAAGTAACACATGCAGCCAACTGGTTTACACAATGCGTTTTATTTCAATGGAGCAGTCCCAATATGTATTGCTTCTGAACTGAGGGAAGTTGCCTTTAATGACAACTCTATACTGTGTTGTCGTGGGGTGGGGGTAAGGAAGGCAGAATCCAAATCGAGTACAAAAAAGGGGACCCAGGTATAAAAGAACAAAAAGCCAGCTTTTAAAAAGTTGCTATGAAAAAACACGAAACTAATATAGCAGGTTAAGGTAGTTAAAAGGAAAAGTAGACACAAAATGAAAGACGTTCCAGGATGACACGAGCAGCACAAACACAGGGCGGAAACAGGGACTGGGAATATGGACGGAAACCTTAATAACCGGGACCACACATGGTGGGGGGGGCATTGGCAGGAACGTTGACATGGAACTAACAGAGAATACTGGGAGAGACAGGCATATGTTCACAAACAGAATAACTAGATTGTCCAAGCACAACTGGAGAGGGCATCAAAAACACTCTGACAGCAGGGTGATGGCACAGGGCGGGTCAGACAATCACAAAGATAGGAAGTAACCAGACAAGACACAAGGAGAGAATACTTTTTAAAATAAAATAGGAAGCACAAAAATCAAGATCATGACGTGTCTTAAATGTGGTTTGCTCTGTTTCTTTCTTTCTTGCAGAATTCCTTTTCCACAGATGACCTTCCAAAGTAAGTATGGTCTGCTCCGGATTTTTTTACAGTTGCTCCATTTTAAAATAAAAAATAAACAGCATTTTACTTTTCTACATTATCAAACATTACACTATTAATATCATGTTTGTGTTTTTTGTCCCAGAGCCAACTGACAGAGGAAGTGTCATTGCTGAGAATGGGACAACAGACCAAGATAAGGTTTGCCCTTTCAACATGATACTGAAAAGCTGATTTAATATTCATTATCCCCTGCAGTCAATGTGTTGAAGTGTCCCTTGGCAAGAAACCCCAAATTGCTCCTGTTAGCTCATCTTCGGAATTAAAGTATATGTAAGTAGCTTGGATAAAAAGGTTAGCCAAATAACATGTAATAACACCAAATTATGTCCTCCATTTACTTCATTTCAGGACGCAGGCGTCCATAAGAAATCCTGGTATGCCTCGGCATGTGACCGCAAGACTGCTGACGATGCGTTGTGTCGCTCGGGCAAAGTAAGAATCTTCTTCTTTTTTTTTGGAGAGCACAGTCAACAAAATGAATAGCATGTGTGGGTTGTATCCCACAATGACCGCCTGCTGGGTGTGACTGTGAGAGCTTTGTGTTTCAGGACGGGGCGTTCATGGTGAGGAGGAGCTCCGGTCAGGACGCACAGCAGCCATACACACTAGTGGTGTTTTATAAGGGCAGAGTGTACAACATCCCCATCCGCTTCATAGCCGGCACTCAGCAGTACGCTCTGGGAAGAGAGAAGAAAGGGGAGGAGGTAGAGTGGAGGGCTTTTAATCTTGTGGGGTTAAACCAGGTTTGACTGATGATGTCATTTTGTTGGCCGACCCTTGAGTTTGCATTGCAAGGGTTCCCTTAACTAAAGGCAAAGGGATTTTTACAAAGGGCTTTTGGAATATTGTAGAAAATAGGATCTATGGCAAACAGTCATTTATGAAAGCAAAAATACACATTTTGTTCAGCAGAATAATCTCTGCAAATCTAATCATAATCCCTCTTCATTATAGTTGAAGCATAAATGCGATTGCCAGAAGTAAACAGCTATGGTTAGGCTATAAACATGCTACACCTCTGGCTGGCAGAGAACTCTCGGCTCCATAGTTTCTATTGGAATAAAACCACATTGTACATTTTACATTTATATAATCTGTTCAATATTTAATATTTAATATTAATATTCCTTCTGTCATATATTTATGTATATATATATATATATTTGTATATATAATACCTTGTTAAATTCAACATGTATATTTTCTACTTTCTTGTTTATTTCTAGTCTTTGAATTTTTATTATACAATGCCTTGTCTTTTGATGCTGCTGCAACACAAAGAATGTCCCAAATTGGGATCAATAAAGTACCATCTTATCTTATCTTACCATGGTTGCATGACTCCATGTCAACAACGCTAAGGTAAAGGCGCCTAAGGTTCGGTGTGATGACTAGTCTCATTTAGCCACTTGTTAGCAACCGCCGTTTTTAAGACAAATAAGACTTTTTCACCAGTTGGGTATTTGTTGGCATATTTCATGTCCTAAAACAAAACGTGAAACTAAAGTTGCAAACGAAATTATTCAACCCCATTGCACATAAGGGTTAGTGGCTCAGTGATGCTCTGGGGCTGCTTTGCTGCCTCTGCACTGGAAACCTGCAGTGTGTTGAGGGCACGATGGATTCAGTCAAGTATCAGGAAATCTTAAGAAAAGACGTCATGCCGTCTGTGTGGAAGCTGAAGCGTGGGCGTCATTGGACCTTCCAACAGGACAATGATCCCAAGCATACCTCAAAGTCATCCAAGGCTTGGTTTCAGAAGCAGAAATGGAGGATTCTAGAGTGGCCGTAACAGACGCCTTGACTTGAACCCCATAGAAAATCTCTGGTGGGATTTGAAGAAGGTGGTTGCAACTCGCACACCCAAGAATAATACTGAACTGGAGGCCATTGCCCATGGGGAATGGGCTAATATTCCTCAGGAACGCTGTCAGAAGCTGGGGTCTGGCATCACGTTTGCAGCAGGTCAGAAGAGCAAAAGGGTGCTCTACTCAGCACTGAAGATGCTTTTCAGGAAGGGGTTGAATCATTTTGAGACTGCAGTAGTCATTAAAAGTAGCATTTTGTGTTGAATTTGGATAAAAACCCTTGTAATATAAGTTTCATTTAACTACTTAGACTATTCTTGTGTAATTTGTTTATTGACAGCTGAGACATTGTATATTTTGCCAATAAAACTAATGTACAATGGGGGTTGAATACTTTCCATTGCAACTGTATCTTAGGCTTTTGTCAACCACAGACCTTATTTGGGGTATTTAAACAAAAACTCATTCAATACCATTGACTTGTAGAAGAGGGAGCCAAGAAAAAAAGAGCCATTACTATATTTGTTTCTGCTGTTGTTTGGTAGTTATAATTACTCATTTATAATCACCTTGAACATTTCCTGAATAGTTTCAAAAGTTTAGTGGAGTTTTAAAATCATTTCATCTTCATTTTGTGATTTCCAAGACACCTACTCTTCTCTTTTAAACATGCTCGTCTCTTATTCTTTTTCAGTTTTTCAGCAGCATCTCCCACATCGTAGAGAACCACCAGAGGAACGCTCTGGTGCTGATCGACAGCCAGAGTAACAGCAAGGACGCCGTCAGACTGAGCCAGCCCGTCACGCCCTGATGACCTCACCACGGATTGGACAAACCTGATATTTTTACTGTCAGACTATTGTTTACAGAAGTCATTATTTGATGCATATCGCCTCCCAGTGTTCAATGAATGCTTCATCCACATCATTTACATTTGTATATCTATTACTATCCCTGAGTGACCTTGCATTTGTGAAGAATCTTCCAGAAGAATCTACAAGCGGAGAACAATCTGAAGGAGTTGCAAAAACGTATACATTTCATTTATCCAGAGCAACTCACAATAATGAAGATACAAACTCAGAACAGCAACTTATTTAAAGTTCCAGATACTGAAATGATATGTTTCTCTTTATTGGCCAATGTGCAGTCTGTGACGGAAAAAAACATGCATTTAGAAAACTCTAAACTGACCATGCGGAGAGTTTTAAATCGTAAGGTTTTAGTCAGAATGCATGTGTTTTGGAAGTAGTCAGCATAATGCTGAGCAGAAGACTTGTGTTATATGCTTATACACTAGACTAAAAGCTTAAGATGTAAAACACCACCCAGAAGTTTCTTAGTGGATGTTTTGTTCCATCGCAGACTGAAAACCTAGCATTATATTGATATTGATGATCATGGTGTTTTTTGAAGGATCAAATATGATTTGTTAAGTCTGTGGAATACTATTTGTTTATATCTCAGCTAACAAGGTGAAAAACTGCTAACGCTTTGGTCATTTTGTGGTTGAAGTATTCCTTTTATATTTAGTCCAGTAAACAGGATTGTATGTATTGCACTCAGAAGACTATAACTTTTTGAAGATGTTTTTAATAAAAATGAATGTGGGGAATGAGACAGTATTGCTGTAGCTAAAGAAAGCAGGTTGACAAATAGATTATGTATGACAGCGAGACTTTGGTGAGTCAAAATTACAAGGTTGTATATTTTTTAATACAATTATTGTCTTGTCTTGTATAATACCTGGGCTCACATCGTTTCCAGTCATCATAAAAAGCGACAAACTATCATCCTCATGCACATTTATTGCATAATAACAATTCCTAGGCACTTGGTGAAACTCAGGCAGTATTTGACAGTACCTCTATCTGGACTATATACACAATTATAAATCTTTGATCTAAATTGAAAAAAAGGATATATACACAGTGAGTTAATGACACTGAAGTGTGCATTCCTGAAACAGGCGCTATATCGGAATACAGGATTATTCCGACACACACACACACGCAGTCCCCTAGCCGTGAATACTGAGGGATCATGGCTGCATACGGAAATGTTGAGCACAGCAGGACACGGGTGAGATTGTCAAAAGCTTCAGACTGATAAGGGCGAGGTAACGGGAAATATAAATCCTCCTTTCATAGTGCAATTAAAAGATAAGATTATCATTTCAAGTCAAAATAGGAAACTCATTGAGAAAGGAAAAATAAAAATATCATGATCAAATCATCTTGGCCTTTTAAATTCCAGAATTAAAAAAAGATTTCAGCTATTTTTCCACCGACATCACAAAATGCAAGTTTAAATTAATCGTGACTTCAGGGACAATCTGCTGCATGAAAATATACATTATACAGATAATACTCTTATTTGAACATCATTTTTTTACAAACACGCCTATTCTTTCAATAGCAAAAGCATACGGATATAAAAGAGTTATAAATAAATGTTGAATAACAGCTTATTGTCTTCTTTCTGTTTTGGTATATCTGAGAAAATTGTAGGTCTCTGCGTCCCATTCCAAAAAACATAAATATGATAGCTACCTCACTGTAGAGCCAACCCGTACATAAACTGATTCATAAAAGTCAGATGGTATGTCAAATGAACATGTTACAGTGTTCTCTAAAAGATTCCGTTAGACAGTGTACGTAAATCATCTTAAATAAAGCTATTTCGTAGACAAAATTCAAACCATACAAAAGGACTAAATTATCCTTGTGGTTTCCGAATAATCACTAATGTACAGATTGTGTATCGAGCTACTCCAACAGGTAAATGTGAGCCCTGAGAATGTGAGCCCTCCACGAGGCGTGATTTCTCCTCAAAACCAACCAATCATAATTAAGACTTTTTAAAAAACGAGGAGACTATTTCCATTGCTGTATTGCAACAAGTCATTCTTTTCCAGACTTTCTTTTGTTTTTCATCCAGTGTAAGTGACGTTTAAGAGTTTTCTAACTTTGGTCCTTTCCAGTCCATCAGATGTCTCTGCCGATGGACCATCCACGTTTCCTGACGTGCGAAGACCCTGCCGCAAAACCAGCAGCGGAATTCCTTCCGAACATCCCCGCTGGAAGCGGCTGCCGCGACCACTTCGTACTTTTTCCTGCTCAACCTACGGAGTTTCAGTTTCAACACAAATCTCTCCTGTACGGAGTTTTTAGCATTCCACGCGGGATCGGGTACGGCATTTGCGTCACAGTTCGCGGCTGCTAGAGCGCTGACTGTTTTCCGTGACAGCACGACCTTCTGCACCTCCCCTCTGTACCTGTTGAGGACCTCCATGATCCTGGCGACCTCGGGGATGTTGGCGTCCGGGTGATTTAGCACCACGACGGGCTGGTCTCCTGCTGGACGCTTCACCAGCTGAGATGGATTTATGGCTACTAGCTTCAGGGTCCTCTCCTGGTTCTTTGGCAGCCACTGATGCCCAGACGGCGAAGAGGGCTCCGTTAAGACGGCTTCACTTGAAGACGAGTTGCTGAGGAGATCAGGGTGGAGGTGGTCAGCAGGCGCTTCACTGACTCTCACCCCCTCAACACTGTGCTCTGAAGAGAGAGCATGGCTTACATCTGTATGGGTGACTTTACCTGCAAGACAAAATGTGAAAATATTAGATTCAAAACAGACTGGTGTGCTATTGCTGTTGATCGTAAAATAAGAATGGGACAATGAAAGATTATATCGCAAGTGAAAAATCTCAATTTATGTGAGTGCGTATCTACATTGTTTTTGACATTGAAGCATGTGGGAGCAAGGAATTCATGATGCATTTGGATGTACCACGTCAACTCAAGCATTTGTTGTTGCTCTTCTTTCTATTTTTGTGTTTAACAATTTGCTCCCACTGGAAAAAGGACTTATTACACTTTGAATAAATGAATTTAAATTGAACCGATATGCCAGTTATATGACACTTCATACAACTTTATTATACAACTTGCGTTTCGGTCAGTGGTGAAAAAAGGGGTTTATTTATCCTGTTTTTATGCAGGGGGACCGTATGATTTATGATTAGGCATACCTTATTTAAGGTTATTTGTTTGTCTTATTATTTAAGAGGATGCTCTCTTGAATAAAAGTATGCTTCCTATATGTGAGGAAAAAATAAAAATGATCCTATCCAATATATAAGGTGAATTGATTTTTTCAGCACATTTAGTTTTTTTTATCTGGATTATGTTGTGAATTATTTTAGCCATGATAATAGTGACATGCACTTTTCATATGAAACAATATCTTGCTTGAAATTCAAGCAAGATATTGAAATACATGTCAAGAAAAAAGGCAGTCCATGTTAAATCCTTAACCATTATCGTCTGCATAGAAACTGTAATCTTACCCTGTGCTGTGATTACGGGTTGGGAAACAGGGGACGGCTGCGTGGAGCTGCTGTGAGGAGTCTCTCCATCAGCTGCTGACACATGGCAGTCCGTGTTACTGCCGGATGTGTGAAGTTGAGCGTTCCCGGGGCACACTTCAGTCCCAGCTATCAGACCCGTCTCACAAGCCGCACCGCCCTCGTCAACTTCTGCTTCCGGTGGCTTGTCAGACTCATGTCCCATCTCTTGATGCATCAGCGGCAAGCCTTTGAGCTTGACAGGTGTATTTCCGTCCGTATTTTTAGACCTCGTTGTCTTTGCAGCACAACTCGGGGTCAGTTCTTCCCCTTGCTTTGGCTGTGGATTTTGAGTGACGGCTTTAGAAAGGTCGTCTGGATCAGATTCGGAAGCTTTGGTCAACTTTTGCTGGTGTTCTTCTGTTAACAGCGTATTCTGGAGAATCCCCTCTAATTTGACATGAGTGTTGGGAGGTCCATCCGTCTGACCACATCCTGATGGAGACAAAGAGCTTTGAGTCACCCACTGCTTCTCTTTCACTGGGTTCTTCTTCAACACTATCTTTAATGCAGACCCTGACGATCTTTTAGCCACTTTTTTAGATCTGGCCCTTCTTTTCCGCCTTCGCTTCTTATTATTTGGTAAGACTTTATGAATGGATGTCTGCTCTTCGCCCTCATTTGTCGACTTCAGCTCACAGGAGATATTATTCCTATCTTCGTGCATAGGCTCCTCAGGTTTTTTACTATTATCCCCCATTTCCTGATCTGTCTTTATTTCCCGATTCTCTCGGTTTTCCTGCATTTGACCACATGCGGATGGCTCGCTCTGGGCTGGCAACATGTCATTTAGTTTGGTTTCGGTCTGTGGACAAGGTGATTGATCGCTCAAATTGGATTGACATCCATTTTGATCCACTACTCTACGAGCATCATCAGGAGCACTTTCAGGGGAATGAGTTTCCTTGTCTAATGATGTCATAATTTTCAACCTTTTGCCGTTGGTAGCACCGTTCTGAGACACAGTCATCTTGTTCTTGGCGGTCAGGATGGCGAGATTTGACGCATTGGACACAATACCATTCTCTGACTTTGGGTAAAGATTAATATCTTGAGGTACATTTGACAAAACAGTTTTAAGAGCCTTGGACCATTTCTGCTCACCAGTTTCTCCGGCAACAGATTTCATCAAGAACTGTTGAGTCTCCTTAAGTGTTGTTTGGGGATCTGACAGATGGCAGTATTTATCCAGGAACTCTTTCCCTGGCAGAGAGAGGCAGTCCTGTGTCAGCCAACACATTTCCCTAACAGCACTTCTCGTTAATCTAGACTTCAATTTTGGGATAGGGTCATTTGGTTTCATTGCAATGGGGTGGACCTCCTCCTCTTCCTTCATCTTCTTCTTCTTCTTCTGATTACCATTCTGGCAAACGTGGACAGCTTTAACGTGCTTAGTAAGCAACCATTTTTGAGATGCCTCAAAGCCACAGTGCTGACATCGTAAAGATTGAATGTTCGCTTTGGACCCTAACTTTTTCCTGCCCCTTGTGCGTGGAGAAAGATCCTTACCTTCCTCCAGTCCAAAATGATGTGCATACATGTGCTCTAAAAAAACACGAACATCACCTGTGGAGAATTTCTGACACATTTCACATGAATATTTGCCATTTTGGCTGTGATACATAGTCAAATGTGCATTGAAATCAGGCCATGTGCGCTGAATGTTGTCTTTACAAATGCTGCAACAAGAAAAAGTGTCCTTGTGGCTTAATTGATGAACGTGAAGGTAGGAGAGCTCATGCGTACTGAAAGTACACGTAGGACAGGAGAAAACAGGCGGGCTCCCTCTGTGATTTACCTTGAAGTGTTTCACTAAGTCTTTGGGAACATATTCTGAGTTGTCCTTGCATTGTGAGCATGTAAACCTGAGTGTATTTCCATTGTCGTTAATCCTGTGCTGACCCTGCTGTGCTTCCTGGGGGGGCTTCTTTGATGAAGGCCACACTGTGCTTTGCTCCCACCCCTCTGCTATCTTCTTTGGTCCACGCTTATCTTCACTTTGCATAGTTGGGGGTTGAACGACTGTGTTCCTGAGGTGGGGCCGTTTGTGCCAATCTCTATTCTTCTTGTTGCCACGCCGTTTATTATCTCCTCTGGAGGTAGCTGCGCGAATATCCCCCGAATCCATGTTTCTTCCGTCAGATTTCTGAAAATGAAGGCAAACAAATAATTATTGAAAACAAATATATAGATTCACGGCCAAAGAGGGG